CTGGAATTCGCCGGCCGCCGCTCCCCCCGCCCAGCTGTTTATAAATTCCAGGCCCGGCCTTGGCCCGCGCCCAGATTCCCGCTCCCAGCCCCTGCTCAGCCCCAAACGTGGCCCCCGCCCAGGCCGGGCTCCCAGCGCCCAGGCCTCCAGCGGAGCCTCCCCTGGGCCTCCGGTCCGCTGTCTCCCCGCCTCGAGTCTCTGTCTCTGACTCTGTACCTCTCCCTGCCTCTCTCTTCATCTCTCCCTCTCCGTCCTTCGGGCCCAGACGTGCAGCTCGGCCTGTCCACACGTGTTCGCCCTCCGCCTCCCCCACCCGCAACGTGCGCCAGCGGGCTACAATCACAGCCTCCCGCCCGCAGGCTCGCTCTCAGTCCCTGCCAGCCGAGGGCCAGCTGACAAAGGGGCAAGTCCCAGCAGAGACAGGGCGCTGCCCCCTCAGACCCAGGAGTCCGGGCCCCCAGCCCCGCCCCCCTCACACCCAGGAGTCCAGCCCCACTCACCGCGGCTCACTCTTTGTTTGGCACCAGACAGGATGCCCGGGGTGTCAATGATACTAATGCTCTCCAGGACTTGATTGGGGAGGTGGGCGCACATGAACCTGGAGTAGAAGGGAAGGTAGGGGTCAATGCCAGACATAGAAGAAGGGAAACCAGGATTGCCAGAGGCTAAAGCCGGTTCAGAGCAGGGAAGTCTTAAAGGGAAAAGGAAGGTCAGGACAGAACACAAAAACTACTTAAAAAGTCAGAGCTGATGTTAACTGAGCACTTACTTTGTGCCTGGTGCTGTTCTCAGCACTTTTATGTATTATAATTCATTTAGTCCCCCAAACTATCCTGCGGAATGGGACCTACGGTCATGCCCATTTTCCAGAAGAGGATAAGGGAGGCACAGAGAGGCCAAGTCATCTGTCCAAGGCAACCCAGCCCAGCAGGAGTGGAACCAGGCTCCACTGGCTTAAGGGCAGAGGCAGGAAGGGGAACTTTCAGGCAGAGAGAAAGGAATTGGGGCTGAAAAGGAAACACAAGCAGGGAAGGGACAGAGGTGGAGGCCAGGGACAGGAAGATGCCCCCCCCCCTCGGTTGCACACCTGTTGAGGAAAGTGTTTCCAAAGGGGTTGAGTTTTCTGAAGGGCTTCTCTGGGTCAACAATGAGGGCATTGCCCGGCACAATCCCCTCGGTGTCACCATGCATGACAGCCACAAAGCAGTCGGTGGTGGGCTCAGGCCCCACACGGGAGCCTGGTACCTCCTGCTCCAGCAGGTACTGGATGAAGCTGGTCTTGCCCGTGCTGTACTGGCCAGCCACCAGCACCATGGGCTTGCTGTCAAAGTCAGCATCCTCTAGTGTAGGCGAGTGGAAGTCTCCGAAGCGGTAATGCTCCTCCAGCGGCAGCAGCTTGTTGCGGTACAGCTCCTTGAGGGCCGAGGTCACCGTGCAGATGGCCTCGGGCTGCTGTCCCCGCGCCCCACTCCGCTTCAGCCAGCTGAACATGGTGGTTGTGTGCTACCCACTACACTCACCAGCTGAGGGAGCTGCACAGGGGGCGAACTGCCTGCAGGAGGAGAGGGTGTTGATGGAGGACTGCCTGGTGGAGGAGGAGAAGGAAGGGAGCTGGAAGGTGAACAGGGAAGAGGAGAATGGAGGGCACTGATGATGCACAGCAGGAGGAAGAGAGATTGATGGGGGAATGACTGTAGAAGGGGGATTGGTGGTGGAAGACCAAGGACTGGACAAAGGGAAGGATGCAGAAGCTGCCCAGAAGAAATATATTCCTTCATTCTTTTCTTCCTCCCTTCTCCCCTTTCATCATTTCACACAGTCGCTGAAATCACTCATGCATCAGAAGTGATAGATCCAGAAACAGGCCAGAGACCAGCTCCCACCTGCTCAGAGCCCCCAGTGAGGAGAGGACCTGGGTACCAAACAGTCAGTGATGCCTGGGAAATGCCAGGCAGTGGACTTGTAAGCACCAGAAGGGGACATGGCAAACTGGCCACAGGATCAGCAAGCTCTGGCTGGGCTGACTCCTGAGCTGCTCCCTGCAGTGGACATGACAAAGGCAGAGAGGATGGTGTGTGCAAAGGCCTGGAGCTGGGAAATGTATGGCCAGGGTGGCTGGACCCAGGAGCGAGAGGAGGAGGGGTGAGAAATAAAGCTGAGGAGTTGCCCAGGTGAGCCCAGGCCATGAAGGGCCTTGGGCATTCAGAAGAATAATAACTCAACATGTATGATCCCTGCAAGCCAGACCCCACTCTACCTCATTTAATCTTCACAGCAGCGTTGTGAGGTGGGGCTATTATTATCCTCACCTTTCTGAGCAGGAAATGGAGATTTAGAAAGATAGCAATAACATGTCCAAAGGCCTAGAAAGTGCTCAAGCTGGGACTCCAGGCAACCTGACCTCAGAGCCTGCACTCCTATCATAGGTCTAAAAAATTAGGAAGAGAAAGAATTACCACCTCAGCAGCAACAAGCGGCCCCAGCCCTCAGACTGTGCTCTCTATATTCCCTTCCCAGCCTTTCGTTCTCTGTAGGATCTGTAGTGATGTCCCTCTTTCGTTTCTGATATCAATCATTTGTGTCTTTTGCCTTTTTTTTTTTTTTGGTCAGTCTAAGTAGATGCTTATAATTTTACTGATCTTTTCACAGAAACAGTTTTTGGTTAAATTGCAGTCTCTAATATCATTTTCTACTAGAAGAAACCAGGGCTCCTTAGAGAAATGGCTGATTCTGGGGCTGGAGCAGGGAAAGAAGTGTGCCTGGATCAGATAGTGGGGAAGTTCTCAAAGATGAATGGGGCATGTCACAGGGACCCAGGACCCAGCCTGAAGGGACTCCCACTGGCTAAAGATTGGACAATTTGAGCATCAAAAATAATTGCAAATCAAATATGTTAAAAATCCATAAAATCATAATGGTTTTTAAGAAATAAAGGAAAAGGAGTCAGGGAAGGAAAGGTAAAGGAGAGGTGAGCAGCTGGGACCCAGGATGTCCCAGACACAGGGGACTTGGGTAGTGTCTTAGGGAGGGAGGTATCTGGGGGACGTCACTGGAAGGATGGTCAGGGTGGCTGGACTGGCCTTGGGGTTGGTGAGGGAGGAGAGGAACTCTTGGGTGAGAGGAGGAGGGAGACCCGCAGAAGGGGTTCTCCCCTAGCTGAGAGGATGGGGAGGGAAGTTGAGAGCGACTGGTGGAGACTAGGGGGAGTGGGGGCGACTGGGCAAGTCTGGGAGGGACACGGAGAGTGGGAGACAGTGTTACCGACTGGAAGGGGCTGGGGGAGTGGAGGAGACAGGTTTCAGGATGGACTGGGGAGACCGTTACACACTGGGGGGGTGGGGACTGAGGGTCGTGGGCGAGCAGGGGACTAATCGGGATCCAGGCAGGCTCCGGGGCTGGGTGGTGGCCGGGGCTGGGTGGCGACAGCCTGCCGCTGGGGGCCACTCACCGATGGAGCTCGAAGGCG